GCCTCAGTCGAGCCTCGGCCGTGCCCAGCACGCACCCGAGGGGCACCAGTCGTGCCCGGGCCGTGCCAGCAGCCCCTGGCCGTGCCCACCAGCGCCAGTCCGCGCCAAGACATGTCCAGCGGCCCCAGGGACCGAGCCCGGTCGCACCAGCCGTGCCCAGCGCCGTGCCCGGGCACCAGCTGGCCCGGCACGGGACCGAGCCCGGTCTAGCCGAACCCAGCCCGACCGCCCGGCCCAGTTGAGCCGGCGGTCCGGCCAGCCAACGAACCGGCCAGTTCGACCGGCAGTTCGAGTCAGTTTTGATTCGTGATTTCTGATCCGAGTCCAGTTCCAAAAATTTCAGTATTTTTTCGAGCCAGTCCAGTCCAGTTCAATCGCGTAGATAAATCCGAGCATTTTAGTATATAATTAAATATTCTGAGCATTATACTTAGCATTATTTTGCTTAACTATTTATGTAGCCTAAGGAGAGTCGAGCCTCCGACCGCTACTCCAGCGTCCGCACGTGCATACCAGATTTCAAGTTTTCAGGTGGGGGTCATGTATTGGATGTCACATCATAGATAATATCTGTACCATGGCAGAGGTATGTTTGAGACAGTTTAGTTCCGGGTTGGGTGGCCGAGGCCTTTATACCCACCTGATGACTGTTGGGAGGGGCGAGGCCCTTTCTACCCCATCGGCGTGTGCACACGAGCGGATACGGCCGAGGGTCTTTTGACCACAGATCAGAACAGACATCAGAGATCAGTTTACAGTTCAGCTCTTATATATTTATGTTTCATGATACGTTATTATAGATGATGTTTTGTTCAGTACTGGTCTTTGCGGAGCATAGTGGTTTGCTCACGCCCCCATTATGTTTTTCAGGAGACGGAGTCGAGCGTGCCGGATGAGCACAGATGTGGCGCAGCGTGGTCATGAGAGTCGAACATATTTTACCAGCATTTTTATGTCCTAGATTTATGATCATGTGTATTTTATTCAGTTTATGTACGCATGTTATGTATTCGTATTTCGGATGCTTCCGCCAGCGAGTTTTTCTAGACAGTGCGAGACAGTATAGACTATGCATGTATAATTCCATAATCCGCGAGCGGACACTTTGGTTGCATGTTTTAGTATGTCTGTGGGCAAGCCCAAGTTTCAGTTTAAGTTTTTATCTGCCACATCCCGCAATAAGTCAGTATTTTCGAAAACCTAGCTCGCACGTTCTTTCGAAAATAAAAACAAAAATTTTACTCTGATTTTCAAAGCTAGTAGTAAGGCGGGGTGTGACAGAAGGTGGTATCAGAGCGCAGAGTGCCTTTCTATATACTTTCAAAGTTTAGAAAAGCATGACCACGCCACGTGTTGGGATCTGTGAGGATCTCGTTATGTACAAATCACGAATTCAATAGCAAACGTAAACCTATGCGCAGCGGATCTAAAGGTTTGACGTAGTGAACTTACGGCTTAAAATTTATGTAGATCTGGCTGACCACGAACGGTTGACCGCAATTGATTGACCGCAAATCACGTCTTGGGTTGCACGAACAAGATCAGATCAAAACCGGATCAAACGGATGCAAACAGATCAAAACGAGATTTTGCTGCCAGGAACCTTCCGGCGGCGCGTGAGGGCGCGTACGGCATCGGATTTCGGCGACGTCGGCGGCGATGGAAAGCTCTCGTCGAGACAGTCGTCTGGGTATACTGTACGTCTCAATTGGACTTCCGGTTAGTTCTGTAGGTCAAAATATATTTCGTCTCGGTTTACCTACAGATCTTCTACTGTATTACTCAATACACCCTTCTTCAACTTGTACCAGTGGAGCAACAAGAAGAAGATAAAGCTCGAATGATATCTAGAGAGAGAGACGTGTTTCACGTGAGATGTGAACTCTCTTCCTTCTCATGAGCTTAATGATGTATATATAGAGCTACAGTAGGGACCCTAAGGAGATTAGGAAAAGGGCTCCTTAATTAATTAGACTAACTGTGGGCCAAGCCCACTCCTCTAATTAATTAAATAATATTAATGGGCCACCAACATTATATTATTGCACTCCCTTTCCCTAGCCCAAATTACATTTGAGACTCCAATAATAATTACTCGATTTACCTCCCCACGTTTAAGATATAATGTCCATTAATTAATTCGATTACTGACAATCAAGAATTAATTAATTTATTATTATTTCACCGAAGCTAGCGCTCGTTCATCACATTCTTATTATGCCGGAATTTAATCCACCTGCAGGGTTTAGCATAACAATCCTTCATGAACTCACTCCGGGGACATCATCAAACTAACGCACATGGTGACCGTAAATATCCTAACAGCA